AAACTATCAAGAGTTGAAAATAAAGTTAAGTGAAGAAACAACTGAACGCAAGGAACCAAGAGAATTAAATTAAATCCAACGCTCGTGAAAAGAACTCAGAATTAAGAGAATGAAGCTCTCAGAAGGAGCAAACTGAGGAGGTGAATTGTGAACAAGTGCCAAAGAGGGAAGATGATGATCGGACACAGGAAATTCAGTAACTGAAAAGCAAGAGATAGAACAATTCTTAATAAGAAAAAGATTGAGACAATAATCGAGGGAGTGTGTAGGTGAAACAGAGCTCACGTCCAAAAGAATACAATAAAGAAAGAAAATGTGAGGCAGCAGGATCTTGGGAACTATACACCCATAATAAGAATGGGAATATCATCTGGAAGAAAGTCCATCAAGAATGAAAATCAAACTGAAGCTGAGAATGGGTCATGTGGGTGGTAAATGGCTGCAACCTGAAGGTGAAGAGGCAGAAAGATTCTCACAGCATGGGCCTCAAAAGAACAGAAGCAATGTGTTGGGTGGAAAGGACAAAAGATGAAAGTGGCATGAGATTGTTAATAGACAATCCATCCCACCCACCCCTTTCTCATGTATGAAAAAAGAAGAGTCCTCCAAAGGAGAAGGGAACTAAGCTGCAGTACTTCAGGCAGGGGGCCAGGTTTCAGTGAGAGCAGGAAGGTGAAAAGGCCTGGAGAGAAATAAATCATGAGCAGTAGCAACTACAGGAGTAACTTAGTAACACTTCTGTAAGTAGCAAGAAAGGGGAAACTAGAAAGAAGGAAGGATGCGGATGTGTATCAGATGAGAAAAAAATGAAAAAACTGAAGTAAAAATGTTAAAAGAACCTTTTTTTTAAAAAAAAAGAGTTACAAATGAAAAGATGAATGCAACCAAAAGGAAAAAAAACAGAATAAAGAAAAGAAAAAAAAATGTATGGAATACTAATATCATTTTCAATAAAGCCAGGATTCTCAGTTGGCTGACGAAGAATATTTCCTAGATTTTCCTTGCAGAAGATGCTGGAATAGTTCTGGCCTGATTTAACACCTCCAGGTGCTAGAGATGACACACTGGATGTAGGACGGCAAATCCTGGGCCGGAGTTTGTCAAGAGGCAGTACAGTGGGGCTGGGTATCCAGGATTGGTTCCAGGAAGCCTCATGAACACCAAAATCCATGGATGTGAAGTCTTATTATATAAAATGGCATAATAAAATGATATCCTTTACATAAAATGATAAAATCAACTGGGGGGGGAGGGAGGGGAGGCATTTTTAATCTGTGGGTACATAGGACAGACTTCAGTTGGGCTTCTTTAAAGTTTGCTTGACTAATCGTTGTGTTATACTCTAACCCAAACACATTCCTCGGCAAGTCACAAAAGCATTATATATATATATACTGAGCATAGTCTGTACTGTATTGTATGGAAAGACAACTTGGAGGGAACAGTACATTTCTGATTTTTCAAAGATAGATGTTTAAAGTGCTAACAATGAAGGAGCCTTGCATTCCGTTTAAAAGCTGAACTCTTGGAGACATTCTGAAGATGTTCAAGGGTGATTCTGGGAAAGTTGTTGATGGAGTCTCCCTCCTTCTGAGGTTTTTAAACAAACAGTGCGTAGGGAGTGCTTTGATTGTGTGTCCCTGCATGGCAGAAGGCTAGACACGATGGGAAATCTTCAGAATCTGTGGTTCTTTGTGTGCCTGAATGCAAAAATAACATTGGTAGCAAACCCTCTGGTCTAATTTAATGAGATGAGATGGTCCTTCACAAGGGTGTGTTTCAGCAGCCTACAGCTCCATCTTAGCCAATAAGATGCAACATCCACACAGAATCTTTTTTTCCTATAATTATAACATTTATTTTGCTATCATTTGCTAATTTTCCCATAAACCTGTGGATAATGAAACATCGGCGATGGGAACATGCAGCAGAGATTATGTAAATCCCATTGCTTCAGTGGGAGTGCTCTGATTAGGACAAGCAATTAGAGGTCGGCCCAAGCTTTGTCTGCCAAACATATGGAGAAATTCGTAAATGTTGGAATGTTCTTCTCACAAAAAGAACCAAATCACTTTCTCACCCTTCCTTAACTACATCGACATAAAGACCAGGGGTGTGTGCTCTCCAAAGCACAGCAGACAGAATGTATTGTTGTAGTTCATTTCTATATTTAAATTGGGTTTGGCCAGTCATGCTGCCTTTAGGCTACAAATGGAAGTGCTGCATATCTCTTCCTTTTTCATTGAGGTTGAAATACAGATATCCCTTTCAGTAATTTAGCCTGGGTCCCAGCCTTTGATGAGATCTCTAGTTCACGTTCTATTGCTTCCAACAGCCGTTTTTATTTATTTATTTACTACGTTTATAAGCCGCCCTTCTCACCCTGAAGGTGACTCAGAGTGGCTTACAACATACACACACACACACACACACACACACACACACACACACACACAAACACATACATACAATATATTATATTATTATATTATATACATACAATATATTATATTAGCATAGTACAATATCAGTATTAATTATTACTATATTGTATTATACCATTATATTGTAATATTATTAGGAATATTACATGTAATATAAATATATAATTATAACATCATATTATTATTATATTGCATTACATTATATTATTATAAATATTATATGTATATACAATATATTATATTATATTACATTATATTATTAACATAGCACTGGAGAGTAAAGGAAAAGTAGATAACTGGAGGACCTGATAGGAAGATAGTGTTTTCTTAGTTCTACAAATGGATAGGTTTCAACACCTATAAGCTAGAAGTGTTAAAACAATTAGGCCATTACTGTTAATGGAATAAGAACTCAACTACGGTGTCGAGATTGTTGAGTATTTCATAAGTAGGGAGCTAGTGTGGCAGAGTTTGAGCATTCAGCTACAACTCTGGAGAACAGGGTTCAATAACCGCTCAGCCATGAAGACCCCCACCTTAGAGAAGCCTGATAGTTTCAATTTAGAGTTAGCATAAATCAGGAATGACTTGAAAGCACACAACGTCATATACCTATTAGTCAGAGAGTTGGTTGTGACATTCAAGTCTGAAGGCATGAGCAGACTCAAGACCATGTTGACCAAGCAACCTGCTTCAGGAACTCCATTTGTAATTCCCTTAAATTTGAAATCCAGTGTGTTAAAATTCTCCACTATATATAAATGTGAGGGGAAAAAAAACATGAAGTTTCCATGAACACCCTTCTGAGAAGAGATTGCCTAAAGTTCCCATCTTGCAGGTCGCCACAAGATCTATGTGAAAACAAAATGACGAGAGGCAGGAAGGTAAATGGAGTGGGAGAAAGGTCTGTTTTTAGAAGGGATGAAGCAATCTGCTTATTTTCATTGTACTTTGGGAAAGGTAATAACTGAGCTTGGCCAATAGGAACCTGCTGCTCGCTTGAGTGAACTCTATGATACAATAGGCAAATGTCACTGATCCTTGGCCAGTAATCTGTTCTTAATTGTAAACAATCAATTTACCGACCTGCCTGGAAATAGAGTACACAGCAGTTGAGAAACTCCTCCCTCCCCCAATTCTTTTTTAATTGGAGAAACACTATACTAGCAAGTCAAAAGGTCAACTGAAACAGATGAATTCATGCAACTTTTGATAATTGAGCCTGGATATGATATCATGGGGTGAAATAAGCTAACAGCCACCCCTTCAAGCAATGTATTACACAAACCTTACCTGAAATTCCAGAGAAACTAAAAATTGGACAATTTACTCATGCCTTTTCAAGGGAAGATCAAATCCTTACTAATAAATGTGATATGATAACTCAATCAATGCTTGAGTGAGTGAACCCTTTCCAAAATACACAAAAGCAAGGATTTTTTTTGCGTGAGTGTTTTTAAGTTGAACTTTCCTGGAAGCTGCAGGATATCTTTCAATCAATCCTAGATCAAGCAACCAATTTTCTTCAGGATGGGGGTCCTGCTGCTGTCATTATGACAGGTCAACATTGACATGGAAGACAACCTCTGTCTCTTAACCAGGAAATCAATAGTTCACCTAGGTTTTTTTTCCAGGAATTACAGAATACACATTCCTGGTTGAGTAATATTACCTTCAACTGCATGAGATAATGTGCTTCATTTTGTATTCTTTCCTGATTAACAACCACATTATAATCATTTTCAGTACCTGGGCCTATATTGGAAATGATGCAGTCATACAATCATTTAATTTTATCAAGACTGTACTTAATTCTCTTAAAATATTTTTCTTTCCTAATTAATTATAAACACACATAAAGCGGAATATGTTGTTTTCCAGATTCCTTATGCACTACATGCTTTCCCTCCCTTAAGAATAAATTATATCATTTTTGGAAAAGGCAACATTGCTTTAATTCTATTAATATGACTAATTTACAACAAACCTTTAAGTAAAATATATTATATACTAGCTTGGGGACCCGGTGGAGCCCGGGTTATTTCAGAAAGGCATTGTGTGCCAAGGTTGGTCTTTATCAATTATTTATGTGGCTCGCAGTGGTCTCAGGAAGTTAGTGGAGGTACTGTGAGTCCCATCGTCCATGGACCATCATCCTCCAAACAGCATCAGGATGTAAAGTGGGGTTGTTGGAGTTTGAATTCCAGAACCAAACTACAACTACAAACTTTACAACTACAGATCTAACAGAAAGGTTTCTTTCACATGTGATCATAAAAAGGGCACAATGAGATTTAATTTGAGACTGAGAGAGAAAGAGGGAGAGAGAATGTGTGAAAGTGAAACTCTGGCTTGACTGGGGCCACAATTCTTTTTTGTTTTTTTGCATAAATTTATGCATACTTTACTACTTTGAAACACTCCCTATGTAGTAACAGTTCAGCAGCAACTACTTGCTGAATATATATGTTGCTCATTTCTATTTACTGCAGACATAACCCCCTCCCCCTAAATAAAAGTAAGTTCTATACTGAATGTTGGCCTATTTGCACTTACCTGTCCCCAGGCGGAGGTTGCCCACTCCACACACAACTGTCTGTTACAGCTCTGAGTATCCACTGGGCGCTTGGCAATGTGAGCACATATGTCACTAGACATGGGGACAGAGTTGCCTGTAGCTATCAGTTTTTGACATGTCACTCGACGGGTCTGGATGCCTCCGCCGCAACTTTGTGTACAATGGGACCATGATGTTACCATCCACCTAAGCCAAAAATAAGATAGAGGAAAAAATTATGAAGAGAAACATAGCAATATTACGGAATCGCCCACCTATCTTTTTTCTGAAACATATTTTTTTAGTCTTCAGTCTTAGCAAGGAGCTTTTACCATCTATTTCTGCTTTTACCATCTATTTCAGGCAAACACTGAATTAAGGGAGTGTTTTAAATGAAAAAAAAAATCCAATCTAAAGGGCTCCAGACCTGCTCCGATGCAGCCCCAGGAACTGCAACCTGTCCACACAGCCCACATGATACAGCCCATCCACATGGTCAACCAGACCAAGGACCTAACAGGGTGCTTGTTGCCACCACTGCTTCGCCAACCACAGGCAGCTCTCTCCCAGAGACTTGCTGGCAATGTTGGATTTCTGGTGAGTAGCTCAGCATCCGGTGTGACATCACCAGGCACCAACAGGAAGCTTCTGCATTTAAGGCTTTGCTGGCAGTGTGAACAGTGGATCAGATGAGATCCAGCCTGATCCTGGAATCCACACTTCCCAAATGTGGGATCATTCTGGAGCTTCCAGAAAGCTCAAAAATAAATCTAGTGTTCTATTGTCATGAAGCAATGGCTGTACAGTTGAAATTGGATTTCTTTTCTTGAATTTTGAGGCTGCTTAATTCAAAGTTATCATTTCCAAGCTTTTCAATCAAGCAGATACATTAGAATATAAAAGTTTCAAGTGCCAACGATCTGTTCTGGAAATATTTTTTGCAATTTGGATAACCTTGTTATTGAATCAGACCATGGCGCCTAAGGAGGCAAATTGACAAAGGGAAAACACACCCACAAAACCAGGTCTTCAACCAATTCACAGATGAAAACTGGTAAATTTTCATGTGGCCACCAAAGCTCAGCCAGGCGCTGGTCCAAAGACCACCACTTTCAGTAACATTGGATTAAAGGCTTCTCAGATGAACTGAAATCCCTGCCTAGATTTGGGGTTTGGGAATACATATCTAAAAAGTTTTTGAACCAGAGTTTTAATACATTGTTCAGTTACACTGCGGTCTCTAAAAGGATTTGAAGGTTTCATGGAGGCTATCCCCCCATGTACAGAAATAAGCATGTCTCTAGTGTTCATATAGCCATTGTCATGCTGATAAGTGTGCGGGCTTCTTGTTAAGATGTGCTGTGAAGACAGGTTCTCTTTGATAGATATGGCTGTGTTCAAGCATGTGATCTCTGGACAATAATTTGTTAAAAAAGGAAAAGCTGTCATCAATAGCTCAGAGGCTTTTGGAAGAAAGCAGGAGGAAATGGAAGGGAAATGATGATCGGTTCCATGGGAGAGCTCTGGTCAAGTCAAGGATTGTACAATTCAGCTTCATATCCTTCCCAACTAAGTTTGTATCCCAAATGTCTGAGAAAATCAAAGTTTGTCCCATCTTGTAAGTAAAAATCTCTTCTATGGGACTAGTGCTCTCACATTCCTGAACATCAATCTTTCCCAACTCTGTGCCCTTCATAAGGGTTGGACTACAACTTCCACCTATCCAGAAAAACAACTATTGGCCATGCTAACCATGGATGAGGGAAATCGTAACCCTATACATTTGGGAGGCTCTACGTTGGGTATAGCAACTTTCACATGTGGAGCAGAAAGGGCATTTGTTTGCTGTTATTCTTTTGTTGATCAGATACCCCCAACCATACACAAATACAAATACATTTTCCACCCTTTTTTCCGATTATACAAGTTTTTTTGCCCCTTGTAAATTCCAGACCAACTTTTCTAACCTCTTTCTGTTTCCAAACATTCACTCATTTCATCAGTTCCTTGGGAGTCAAAAAAGCAGCATGGGCAGTGTTGCAGCTTAAGAAGGGGCTAATGCACATAAATCATTCCTGTAGAAGTATTCCCATCAGCAAGTCAGCCTTCTGCTGATATTAATGAGCATGCTTCATATTTCACTAACTCCCCTGGTTCCAGCTGTTTCTTATGATTCAGCTAGCCAGCTAGAGATCTGTTGCCTAAAGCAGAGGTGTGCGAAACATTATGGAAAAGTCATAAAATAGGAGACATTTCCACAGTGGCTGCTCTGTGCTGATCATGGCATTTATTTATTTGATTTGCAGCTCTGCTGGCATTGCTGCTGTTGTCAGATAATGTCAGGACAAAATTCGGAGACCATGAAAACACAGGAAATCACTGAAGCCGAACTGGATCATTGGTTCATTTAGCTTACTAATTTCCACCTTCATGGATTTTGATCCATGCTGAACTTTGGCCATGTTGGCTGGGGATGATGGGAGTTGTTGTCCAAAATATCAAGAACAGGCATGGGCAAACCCAGGCCCAGGGGCCAGATGCGGCCCCTTGGGCTCTTTTCTCAGGCTCTCTTCTCTCTCACCATCCAATCCTTTCTTCCTTCTCTCCCTCCTTCCCTCCCTCTTTCTCCTTCCCTTCCACCCTTTCGTCCTTCCTTCCTCTCTTTTCTTCCTCTTTCCCTCTCTCCCTCCCTTCCTTACTTCTCTCTTTCTCTCTCCCCTTCCACCCTTCCATTCTTTCTTCCCTCTCTTCCTCTTTCTCCTTCCTTCCCTTTTGTCTTTCTTTCATTCTCTCTTTCCTTTATCCTTCTCATCCTTCCATCCTTCTCTTCCTCCCTTTCTTCCTTCTCTTTTTCCTTCCTTCCTTCCTTCCTTCCTTCCTTCCTTCCTTCCTTCCTTCCCCTCCATCCTTCCTTTTTGTCTTTCCTTCATTCCCTCTTTCCACCCTCCTTCTCTCTCTCCCTCTTTCTCCTTCCATCCTTCCTTTCATCCCTTCCTTCCTTCCTTCCTTCCTTCCTTCCTTCCTTCCTTCCTTCCTTCCTTCCTTCCTTCCTTCCTTCCTTCCTTCTCTCTTTCTTTCATCCTTCCCTTCCTTCCTTCCATTACTGGGAAGCCAGTCCTCCTAGCAGGGAGTACTATCATGCAGCCCCTAAGTTAGAAAGCTTGCCCATGCCTTATATAGAAAGACTCAGATTGGAGGCTGCTTTCCAGAGTCTTTCCCCAGCTCTACTTGCGAATGTCAGAGATTGAATCTGTGACCTTGGTACATGGGAAGCACACCTCCATAACTATTTTCACTAAACCCATTCTTTTGTACATTTTCCAGAATGCATGGTTGAAAAATATACTATAAGCTCAAGAAGTTTTATACTCAATACAGCACTATGGATTTTGAAAGGTGCCCTGCAGTTTCTCTGAGTACAGAGTACAGAAATGGCAATTTCTATGAACTCCTGAGAGAACTCCTTTTGTTTATTAACTAAAAGATTCTTGTCCTTACAGTTGCAAAGTTTCTTTTTTGAAAAGAAAATCTCCCAAGGGCCAGACACCAGAGTTTTCACTTAGCAGGCCTCCCTACTCTACCCATCAAACCTTATTACTAAGGAATTACACTAAAGATGATGCATGGATACTATCACTTTTAAACACAAGAAAAACAATCTTACATGTATCGTTAATGTTTCCACTAGGCATCAGGAAGTCCTAATCCCTTCAGGTACTATGGATATGACTGATCTACACATACTACAGTATAAAATGGTGGAGGCCCAAAGTGATAAAACATATTGCACCTGTTGACATGTTCCAGTCTTCACTGCTCTCTGTTGCTTTACATGTAATAAATACCTTTTAAAAATACCACTACAGGGAGTAAGTTGGAATAATACTTTATTCCTTGATGAAACCTGAATACACCAAAAGTGAAACTTAAGCCAGTCATCGAGACTAATGTTGTATAGGCAGTTGGCAATCTGTACCCATGGATTCTGAACCCACAGATTCAATCTTTCCCGGCATGAAAAAAATATATAGAAAAATGCATTCTATATATTTTGCCATTTTATGATTTTACTAAAAAAGGTAAAGGTTTTCCCTGACATTAAGTCTAGTTGTGTACGACTCTAGGGGATGGTGCTTATCTCCATTTTAAATCAAAGAGTCGGCGCTGTCCATAGACATGTCCAAGGTCATGTGGCCAGCTTGATTGCATGGAACACCATTATCTTCTTGCAGAAACGGTACCTATTGATCTACTCACACTTGCATGTTCTTGAACTACTAGGTTGGCAGAAGCTAGGCCTAACAGTGGGAGCTCACTGCGCTCCCCGGATTTGAACCACCAACCTTTTGGTCAGCAAGTTCAGTGGTTTAACCTGCTGTACCACCAGGGCTCCCCATTTTACTAAACCATTGTATATAAGGGGATTCTTGTATCCATTGGGGGCCCTGGACCCAAACCTCAACAGATACCAAGAGCTCAGTATATTTTGTCAGGATAACTGCAGCCATGTTCCCGCTTCCAGTTAAGTTATTTTGACATCTATAACAATAACAATTAGTTGACATATCATGAAAGGTTAGTAAATCAGCTTTCTAAGGCAACTCCTTTCCTTTGGTGAGTGGCAGTATTTTATGAAGTAAGTCTTAGTTCAACACAGACAACCATGCGGTTAAGACCTGTAGTGTGTTAAAACCCCTACTTTAAAGATATTATATTCTAGTGACAGATGCTTGAAGGATGGAAAGATTATTGCTTTGCAGTGAAATGTTATAACACATATTGCAGATTTAAATCCAAACCTTGAAGGGCAGTCTCTTCTGTTACAAGCAACTGGTGGCAGAGCAGGCTTGGACTTGCCTACACAATGGGATGTGTTGACTGGTTCTCCACCTAGTAAGCATCTCAGTTGATGATACTGTAGTCCCTTGTTACCACAGGAAGCTGAACAAGGTGACATCTTATCGACTGACCACCAATAATCTGAAAAAGCAACAAATCACCCAGACTGAAAAATCTAACACAGAATCATAGAGTTGGAAGTGACCACAAGGATCACAAGTCCAACCCCTCGCCTTGAACAACAGACATTTATTAACATTGGTAAGAAAACAACGACAAATATCACAATCCTCTTTTTTGCAGAGAGATATTCGGAGGGAAATTGACAAAAGGTCAAACTTATTCTCAGTTAGTTGGCAAGAATTTGCTCCTTCAATCAGAACAAAGGCTCATTCTGTTTTTAAGGTGGGGGTTAAATGGTGTCTGGGTGGTCATTGTTAATGTCACCTATTTTCAGGTTATGTTTTCGCAAAACAATAAAAACAGAGAACATATTGCCTCCATGACCACTTTCTGAAGAGGGAAACAATCTGACTACCATGACAGTAGTGGCAAATGATAAAAAGAAATATTCCAAAACTGAATAAATTAAGTCAAAAGTAAATGTTCCTGTAAGATTTCCCAATACATCAACTACTTTTAAAACAAAATCTGTGGAAATATGTTAGAAAATACAAGACTATGAATGTAACACTCTGAAAATGCAAAATGTGTATGAATCAAGCTGAGTAGACAATCCCCTCATGCAAAACCTGGCGTTTTGAAGTATATTACGGCTTGTATTGTCATAATTATTGATGATTATAAACTATTTAGGCTAGTAAGAACAACATTAACAGATTGCAGAGAATTACAAAATACTATCTCCAGAGAGGCATAATTGTAAATGAAAGTTAGACAGTTAAAAAGGGAGGATCCAAACTTCTCATATACACTGATGGAGGAACTACTCAATATCTCTCTGGGTCATGGTTAACATATCTCCATGAATGGAGTGAAAAGGGGCTAGTGTCAAGTTGAGCATCACATCATACTGTCCTTAAGACAACTCCATGGTTTGACTGTATGTGAAATATCTTCAGATTTTCCCTACCATCTACTAAAAGTGGCTGCTGAAAGCTCTCCAGCCTCACTGTACCGCTCCAGGAGGTAAGCTCATACTTTGATCAATGGAACAACTAAAGGGCATAGATGTTTTTGAGGGTCAATGAGACCAGGACAGACTACCTCCTGCAATGATCTGGACACTATAAAAGCCAACATATTATTTGAAGGCACAAATTGAGGAGGAAAAATTACTACTCTAATCATTGTGATACTTTCATCCCTAAACAAAAAGAGTATTACAAGGTCAATGTAGATTCTGAAACTCCTCCATGGATCTAGTATAGCTTGTGTGTGTATGTGCTCCTTCAAGACATCTGTTGATTTATGGAGATCCCATGCATTTCCTGGAATTTTTTTGGGCAAGAAATACTCAGAGATGACTTTGCCACTTCCTTCCTCTGAATTAAGCTTACAACACCTAGTGAGAGTTGGTGGTCTCCCATTCACATACCAACAAGGGCTGCCCTGCTTAACTTCCAAGACAGGATCTTGTGTCTTTAGTAAATATGTATAGGGTAGAAGGCATGTAGCTATTGCGATTCTTGGGAGGTAAGTTAGAATATCTGAATTGTTTTTGCTTGACCATTTAGTATACTTCTGCTTGATAATTCAGGGAACTCAACTGCATAGGAGTCTTATTTATTCATACTGAAATATTTCTATCCTATACTTTATAATGAGAATTCAGGGTGACATATAGAAAATAATAATTTTAAACATTGTTAAATTAAAAACAATTGTTAAAACAAGATACAAATTTGATAAGGGCCACAACAAATTAAAATACTTTAAAAGACTGTACTTTAAAACCATATTCAAGTAAAGTTTAAATAAATAAAGGGTTTAATAAAAAAATTATTGGCTCAGCACTCTCCTATGGAAGGGCATACCACAACTGGGGTGCTACTGCTGATATGGTTCTCTTCTATGTGTGAGTGTGTCAAGCCCCCTTTCCTTCATTCTGGATTTCACGGTAAAACATATTTAGTAAACAAAAGAAACCATCATTGTTATTTTTAACTTAACATTTAATATGACTGTACAATGCAATGCTTTTATAATCCAGTCAGCCCTCCACATTCACTGGAATTAGGAGAACAGAAGCCATCAAATGTGGGGAAAATGCAAATTGAAAAACACTACTTTTTTCACCTGAGAGAGCACTTCTCTTGGAATATCTAGATTCTCCAGTAGAACCCTGAGGATCTACAAATGTTCTTTCTAGGGATGTCTAGGTCCTCCAGTGCAAACATATAGCAGAAATTGTCCATAAAGTCAAGCTAGAGATCTAGAGACAACATATTAATTCCTAGAGACAACATATAAATTAAATGGGTGACTAATCAAATTTGCAAAAGTGAAACCTGCAAATATGGAGGGCTGATTGTGCATGTATTGATGCAATTGCAGACAAGATGTGTATAAGAAAAGTATCATCTACCCCAGTATTCTAATTAAAACGCAAATGAACAACAACAAATGAACAACAGCTACCTTGGATCTCCAGATATGTTTTTTGCACAAACAATCCTGCCTCATTTTGAGCCATACAACTGATTTCTCCTTGATCATCACTGCTGATGTTCAGTATCTGAAGTATCTGTCCAGAGGCCAACACATGATGAGGCGCAGTGATGGGTTGACCAGCAAAAAACCAGGTGATGTTAGGAGTCGGATGGCCGTTGACTGGGCAGCCTGAAAAAAAACCAATGAATAAATATGTCAAATCTCAACAAATTGGTTAACTACTTACCCCTATGGAAATAAAGTAACTCTTGTATTCAAAGGAGGAGTAGAGGAACCAATGACTGGAATTTCAAATAGTTTGGGGACTAAAATCATAAGCTTGTTACTAACACAAACATTGATAATAATATAATATTAATATTATATTAATGCATGAACCATGGAGCCCCCGGTGGCACAGTGGGTTAACCCCTGTGCCGGCAGGACTGAAAACCGACAGGTTGCAGGTAAGAATCTGGGGAGAGGCGGATGAGCTCCCTCTATCAGCTCCAGCTCCTCATGCGGGGACATGAGAGAAGCCTCGCACAAGGATGATAAAAACATCAAAATCATCCAGGCATCCCCTGGGCAACGTCCTTGCAGACGGCCAATTCTCTCACACCAGAAGCGACTTGCAGTTTCTCAAGTCGCTCCTGACATGACAAAATAAATAAATAAATAAATAAATAAATAAATAAATAAAATGAATGAGCCATTAATATAATATTAATGCATGAGGCAGGGTAAAACATAGCAATAAAGTACAATAGATAAAAACATAAAGCCACGTAGATATAAAACTAAAACACACATGAAAATCATACCTACAAAATGTCAAGTTTAAAATAGACTAGGTAGGAGTGTTGGAAGAGATTGTCCTGATTCTTGGCAGGAAGTTGGACTGGATGGCCCATGAGGTCTTTTCCAACTCTCTGATTCTAGGATTCTAAGTATGTGTCTGTATTTGCTTTCATTAGGGTTAAACATGAATGAATGAATAATAATAAATAATGAACATGGCCAAGAATACTCTCTCAAACATTAGAATACACTGCTGAAAATGAATGAAGCAGCAGGATGCACTAGAAGACTAACAGATGGATAAATTCACCTCTAAAACAGTTGTTTTCCTACCAAACTACTACAATGACAATGACTTCTTCTCCTTCTTTCTATCTTTATAGAGTACCATCAATGTACATAGCACTGTCCAAGTAAAACAACCAAAAAAACAGTGGATCCCGCCAAAGGCATACAAGCTAAAATGTATGTGCACATGCACACAAAGAGTAAGGAAGAAATAATACAATATAAAACTATACAATACAATTGCAAAACAAATTATTCATATACAATACACAAAAATGCAATACATTAATATGCAAACCAATCAAAATGTATTAGCTTCAGTTATATAGTGTTTATATTTAGTGTGTCAGAAGCAAATTGAGGATACAGTTAAAATGAATTTAAAACACAAAGTTAAACACGTGGCATTATACTAAATTTCCCTTTATTATAATGCTTCAGTTGGGAATGCAAGATTCCTGCAAAAGTGGTAAAACTTCAAATTAAAAAAATATCTGAGAATGTATCTTTTTAGGAATCTCTAGATTCTTCAGCACAACCCTATGAGGAAGTTGACCAAAAGAGTCATATTGGAGGACCCAGAGATTACTAGTGGAGAGCATATTAATCAAATCTATAAACAATCAGATCTGCAAAAGTGAGCTAGGGCCAACTGTACATGCAATCAAAATATACAAGATTATAAAACAATATTAAACCAACGCTCCCAAAGCATTTTGGCATTATTACTGAATTTAAGATTAATTACCTTTGCTTTGGAGGCACTGATGTGGCACGTGTACAGGGAGGATAGAGTGTGAGAGATCAAAGCATTTTGCGCTCTGTTATTACATACATGAGAACAGATGGCTCTGATTTCATATCACCTTGCACATTTTAGTAACAGAAAAGTAAATTCATACTACAAAGTTTTAATGATACCAAATGATAATATATCACCAAATAGTGTTTCCCCCCCATTTCCATCTGTTGAAACTTGCTTGTATACATACCAATATGTGGACAAGATTATTTTATTGAGTATGTCCCAAGGAAGATTACTTATGACATCTTCTCAAGTTGCGGTTTATATTTATATTGTATTCTCAGTCAGATTTATATTATATATAAAAGGTCAATGAAAACATGTTTGCATTAGAGATGATTACAATAGTTTTATACTCCAGCACCGCTTTCATATAAAAACATTGCACACATGTAAGATTAGTGCATCTGAACATTTAAGCCATTCATTACCCAGGAGTTTGCAATGAAGAAACAGAAACTAATTATGCACTTGGGGTAATCCAAACTGTTTTGATGAATCACCTTATATATAAATACTGAAGGATTTTTCTGGCTTCAAGCTCAGCTTTTGGTTGTTGAATCAGGCTTAAAACTGATGTTAGTGAGATACATTCACCACAAACTAAATTATGAAAGAATAACAGAATAAAAATCATGCCATAATGACTTGCTTAGCATGAATTGTTTGAATTCACGCAAACTGTTTTCAAATTATTTTTTCAAGCTCTCTTTTGTATCCTATAATAAGGAATGTGAAAAGGGCTATGTAGTGATTTTTGGTATTACTAATCTTCGCCCTCTGGTTAAAACACTGATACAGTCTTAAATTTCAGTTTGGATGCTGATCTTAGGCATGCCGTGGTGGGCCGAGGGGTGCATCTATACTGTAGAATTAATGCAGCTTAGCACCATTTCCCCTGCTATGACTCAATGCTATGGAATCCTGTGATATGTTGTTTGGTGAGGCACCAGGTCTCTTTGGCAAAGAAGTCTAATGACCTTGTGAAACTACAAATCCTACGATTCCATAGCCTTGAGCTGTGGCAGTTAAACTGGTGTCAAAGTGCATTCAGTCACAGCGTACGTGAACACAAACATTTCATAAAACCAGGACTTGAAAACTGGCTTATCCCTGGAAACTCAGGAAGTGACCTTGGGCAAGTCACACTTTCTCACTCCAAGGAAAAGGAAATAGCAAATCTCCATTGAATAAATCTTGCCAAGAAAACTTAGAATAGAGACACTATAAATCAACATCAATTGGAAGACACACATGGGCCGGGCTTTAGCACAGTAGTTTAAACCACCAGCTGCAGTAAATCTTGTCAATCGAAAGGTTGACAGTTCAAAGCCTGGATCAGGGTGAACTCCTGGCCTTTAGCCCATCTTCTGTATACCTAGCAGTTCTAAAGCAAAATGTGAGTAGATAAATAGGTACTGATTAAAAGCAGGGAGGTATTTAAGGCACTCATAAGGAAATGCCAGAAAAATGTTGGTAATTTGATCAAGGAGGAGTTTACAAACAAAGCTCTTCAATAAGGAGATGGAGTGACAGCACACCCCCCCCCCCCCATGGCTGGAACCGATCACAAGCCTCCAAGATGCTGAAGATGGGAAAAGCTTATATATACCTCTATCTATACCTCTATCTATGAACAATTGTCAGTCTTGTCTGTGTAAAAACGGCATTAAATGTTTGCTGCATATGTATGTTCTGTGATCCACCCTTAGTCCCCTTTGGGGCGAGAAGGGTGGAATATAAATACTGTAAATAAATAAATATAATAACAATAAAAAGCTAATAATCCCAATGTATTCATTTCTCTAGTTACAATAGTATGTGCTTTCTGACCATCTGTCAGGTGTACTTCGATTGTGCTTTTCTTGCCTGGAAGGGGGTTGGACTAGATGGCCCATGCAGTCTCTTCCAACTCTATTATTCTATGATTCTATATACCTGAAGCATTCAGACAGGCCTAGCTCCATTTTGGAGATGGAAGCAAGTTCTGGGTAAGCTATCTCACTGGTCCTTGTCAACATCAGTGTCTCTCAAAATTAACCTGCCTGTTTGCCCATGATGATGACATCAAAACTGTGGGTCATGAGCCTGAATTCCACCAATCTTGCCTGTGTAATTGTGCTGGCTTCCTTGCAAAGAAATGTGAGGGGGAGAGATGACACACAGTGGCATCACTAAGGTTGGTATCACCTAGTGCAGGGAAGGGGGCAGATCTTGGCTAGTGGCTTGCTGCCTTCTTCAGTTCTCAAAACTCAGGGAGCCCAGCTGGCAGCTTTCTGCCTTCTTCATCGAGAGCAGACCTACCACAAGCCGACTGGGTGCTACTGTTGCTGTGCAAGTAGGAAGAAAGACAAGGATGGAACCCCCCTTCCCTACCTGCCATTGTTCCATCAGCAATTGGCCTCTTAGTGGCAGTGCCATTCATCATGCTACATTAAACATTAGTGGACCAGACTATACCATAAAAACTCAGAATACAGGTAATGAAGAAAACATAGAGAAACACCCTTTTCAAGGTAGCACTTTCCCTCTGAGATGTGTCCTGCTCATCCTGAGGAGCAGAGAAGTAGAGCTAGGAGAGATTTAAGAATTGTATTTCTGCCTTGAGAGAGCGTATAAGGTTCTTGTGGTGGCAGAAAATGGGATGGGAGTGATTCCCAGACCTTCTGAAGTAGTGGTTCTCAACCTGGGGTCCCCAGATGTTTTTGGCCTTCAACTCCCAGAAATCCTAACAGCCGGTAAACTGGCTGGGAATTCTGGGAGTTGTGGGTCAAAAACATCTGGGGACCAGGTTGAGAACCACTGTTCTGAAGCTATCTATTTCATCACTGTGCTGAGTTTTCTCTATCTCATGTACTTTTTCTGACCAAACACATAATCTTCCCTTTGAAGACTCTATTAGGGAGGAAGGTCTAGTTACCTAGGTATCTGAAAATCTTGGTTTACATTAAAGGCTCTGTGCACAGTCGGTGAAAGCATTTGAGTCTGTAGCCTGCCCTGGGTATAACCTATACATCTGTTAATGGGCTCTAAGTAACTTCTGGTGTTTCTGTTCAATTCCCATCCATGACATATGCTCACAAGTTCACTACAATTACAGATGAGCATTTAGTAGTCTGTAAAGGTAATCAAGCTGATCACAAACCATCACTGTTACATGGTTTGCAACATAGACAATTAATTTAGTTTTACTATAATATGAAAAGAAAGTGGTAGAAAAATATCAAATCGGATTTACAAATAAAGGTGAATAATTTGATATTATAATCAGATCCCTAATTTACTTTGTTTCTTT